GGGTGAGAGCGGCATCTAATACCAGCCCCAAAACAACGTTATCCAGCACAAAACAGAGACTGTGTTCTTCTCTTTACTATTCTCCTTTCTTACCTGGGCATCCTCTGCCTTGGTTTGTCTTAAAGAAGAAGCAAGAATGGACCGCGAATAAGCAGGTCAAGGCCATCTCACCAACGTTTTCTCTTTTCTTTCAGCAAAGACAGTTACCAGCATTTTAACATCACCAAAGAGACCGGCAAAAGTAGGGGTTTCTTGCTGTGCTGCACTCTGCGCAGATAAAGGGAAAGGCAGTATTTGTGAAAATGAAAGTCTTAGTTAAACTTTGCATTGTATGTGCTTTATTCTTTTGCTGTGTATTTGGTAAAAGGCTCAAATCCTAGGTTTAAAATAACCCTGTAAAACCAAGCGCATTGTTCTCAGTGAAGCCCTGAGGAACTACTCCGCATTGCCCAGACACCTCTGTCCAGCAGACTCTGATCTCCCGGCCGGAGTCAAACCCACTCTCCCCTGCAAAACTAGTCAGATATTTCACATGTCGTTTCCAGAAAATGATCGCTCCCACAGAACATTGCCGAAGCATAAACAACATTCCTCCTGATAGCCCGTTTCTTAAGAAAGCATTTTGCTTTGTGTTACTTAGGTCAAGACCAGTCTTTTCAAAATTTCTCAATTTTCCTGGCTTAGATCTGACTTTAAAAAAAGCAGCTGCGCAGTTTGCTGTGGCAGAGGTGCTCCGGGGAACTGCTGCGCTGGGAAAAGCGTTACTTCGGGATGCTTTTCCAGCATTTCGTCTTTTATCTTCCAAGGTAAGGAACTTGCAAGTTCCATCATCTTCCAAGGAGGGACTCCAGGCTCCCTGCTAGTGCTCTGCTTTTTGCATTTATCTAGCTTTTCTCTGTTGCTGTCTGGAAGAGGTGAGGCTATAACTATGGGTGAAACAGTCACTGCAAGTACAGGAGATGACCAATTTGGAGCCATAAAATTTGCCAGGATAAGAGAGAACTGGGTTTCAGCTGGGTCGCTTGAAACTGACCCCCAGCACAAAATATTCAAACATAACCAATTATAGAAAGCATTTCAGAACGTTTCTACAATTCACTAATAGCACATTTGTATTGTAAGAGAAATTATAAATGATTTCTGGGAATCTTCTTGGTCCCACCGAGACAATTCTCCTTCTGTGGGAATTAAGCTGGCTCCCAAGGCGGGAAGAGATGCCATCTCTGGTCCTGAACGGATTTCTGCCCCAGGAGCTGGGAGGAGAACAACCAGGCAGGAGGATTTTTCCCCAAAAAACAAAGCTGCAATTCTTTATGCAACTAAACCTGTGGCACTGGCTGCTGCCAAAGTCCCTGTGGGACCACAAGGCAGCTCCCAGAGCAGCAGCTCAAGTGAGACATTGCAACAACTGATGAAATTCCTAAGAAACACTTATCTTTAACAAACAATATAATATTTACTATTGAAGTTAACTGATGAAATGCGATTTCCATGTGCAAGATTACATTAGTCAGAAGTTACCCGTTTATTGAGGACTTACGAAATGAAGATATGTTCCAAAGCCCTAGGACACACTCGTACCTCTAGCCTGCCCTTGCAGATAAGAGAGGAAAAGGACACCAAGTCTGTCACAAATGTTACTCTTTTCTAGGACACCATTTGCCACGACTGAAACACCCACACATCATTTCATGCAGCATCCCCCTCCCAGCGCTCCCGAACCACGCAGACCCTGGCCACCACAGCCGCTGCGCGAGGTGCGGTTTGGAGATGGGCTGCTCTGCCAGGCCCTTTTCCTCTTCTTTTCACCTTGGACACGGAAGGGGAGAGGAGGAAGACGCACGCAGGCCTCCTCACCCCAAAGCACCCCAGAGCTCCTCTACTTTGCTCTGGCCTGCAACCCCGCAGAGGAACGCAAATGGTTTCAAGCAGCCGTTGCCATCTTCAGGGGAAAGTCCATCTAGGAAAGTCACTGAAGTCTATTTCATGATTTTCAGAAGTTTCCATTTTCTTGAGCCTGGCAAGCTAGAAAGGCACAAGTTATTGCATGGTCTCCATGCTGCATCAACGGAGCATGCCAGTAAATAAGCCTTATCTGAGCATCACAGCTTCATGCTTATCTAGATGAATGAGCAAAACCAGCTACTGCAAACAGCTGCAGCTTCAAGCTAATGATGCCAGCAAAAAGACATTAAGGTGACAGCAACATACAGCAGCTCGTTAGCTCCTGCATATCATTTTAGGTCCACCTCCGCTGGGGACTGCAATGCTGATAGCTGCTGTGTTTGCTGCAGAGGCTTCGTGGCACTGTTAGTCCAGCAGCTCAATCCTGTATTTGGTGCCAAGCAACAAGTGCCGAGCAGCTCCCACCACAACCCAGGCGCTGCCATGTGCCGGCAGCGGGACCTTCACGAGAACATGTAACTGAGCCACCACCATGCGGGTCAAAAAGTCATAAAAGTGCATGAGCAATCTCAAAATTAGTCTAGCCTATCAACCTCTTCCAAGCTAGAGTAACCACGTTTGTGGTTGAATGGTGCCTGTTCTCATGGGTCAAGATAAGGACCGCAGTTCAAGGCTGATCCCGCCTCTGCTAAAACCAGATGGCTGTGCCTCCCCTAGCAGCATGACTGGACACATGAGTCCAGCCCTCCTGGGATGCCCAAAGACTTTGCGAATACAGTGCAGCTGCAGACTTTAACTGATGAACTTGCTCAGTTCTTACAAGTTAGTGGGAGATCTTATGAAACCTCCTACTACACTTGCTCAGAGGAATTACTGCTTCTCCACGCAGTGCCTGCTCCAGGTCGTTCTCTCCCAAGCAGCGCCTTGCCCCGGTGATCACGCAGCTGCAGCTCTGCACCAGCAGACCCTCGCACAGCCTTGACCCTGGCTTTGCTCACACACTCATATCGTCTGATTCTTTTTTCAGTAATATTCCTAAATTGGCCGTAACATGAAAGCTGCTTGTCAGACCCTGAGTCCCACTGAAATACCTATTTTGTTTGTCAGAGTTCATGAATTCATTAATTAGTTTATTTATTCATTTTCATTTTCCTGTTCATTTCAAATTCATATTAAATCACTTTAAATCAATCCACCTGTTTTTTCTCCAGCTTCCAAAGTCTCATCAGAAATATTTTATTTGCTTGTTATTATTATTATTATCACTACTACTCCTGGTGCTTGCCGTGCCTTCACTCTCTCCGTGCTCACAAATCGGACTAATCGTAGAGCTACAAAGGTGAATGGTGTGGACAGCATCTCTAAGGTAAGGATCTCTACTTGCTTATGCTGTCCTATTTTGTTCTTGCATTGTCCTTCACCTTCTTCACCAGGCATTCACATGTAAAGAAAGTGTTAGACCAGTAAGGAATCTGAAGCTAGAAGATGCGATTTTAAATTATGCAGGCACACCGAGCTAGCTTAAAAACAAAAAAAAAAAAACTAACACTCGAGCAGTTTAAGTTACCTCAAGCAGAAGAGGCAAAAAAAAAAAAAAAAGAAACTGTATTACCAAACCTTACCATTTTGGAGTAATTAACAAAAAGACTCAATGATTGTACAAAGGTGAAGAACAAACCTTGTTTTGGGAGGAGCTAGCCAGATTCCTGATGAAAGACCAGCTTATGGCTGGCGTTTGTAACAAAAAAAATGCATAGCTATATTTCTTGGGAACTGCAAATCAAGGAGTTCTTGGGAATCTGCCAACCCCAAAAAAAGAAAAAAAGCACGCAGTTCATATAGAGTTTTAGGACAGTGCTTTGATTCTGCAGAAGAGGTTGAAAGCTCAGATGTGTGCAGGAAAAAAAGGAGGAGGAAAGGCCGGAGGCAGAAACTCTGTTAGCAATAGTGTCGGGCGCGAGGACGAGCGGGACACAGCCGCCTGCCTGCAGTAATGACTGCCCCAAGGCCCAACGCAACGGGACTGGCGAGAAGAAGGAGTAACCGTTTACAGAAGAAAAGGAAACGGTTGCAGCAGGGCCCGATGGACCCGCCAGCCCAGCAGCAGAGCCGGTCACTAGAGCCGAACCAGATTCTGCGGCATCCCTGGGGTTGCCAGGCTAAGGGGAGCAGGAGCAAGGAGCGAGCTGGCACTGCTCGCCATGCAACCGCAAAGACCCAACTCTCCCTTATGTGTAGCCCCTCAGGAGTTAAATATACTTACAAAAAAGGGAAATTTCCTGGAGTCCTGCAGCAAGTTCAAAATCAAGTTGTCCATGGATGCCTCCAAGGAAGGGGTCCACACCGAGCATGGCTGGCCATATGCCAACCACAGGGGGAAGGAGGCTTTGCTCAGAAAACTAGTACCATTTTCTGGGAGGCCAATTGACTATAAAACACTTCCCGCCATTGCCAGAAAGCACAGTGGACCAAAAATGAGATTAAATATTTTCACTTATCTGATTTACGAACTCAGTCCGAGGTGATGGGTAGCACCGTGCGTGCTCTCTGCGAGCTCTGACCGATGCCCTCACATGAAGCCCACATTTCTGCAAAGTTATGACCTCTGAAATCACATCATTAGAAAGCACTACGAATAAACATGCGAGCCTTTTGCACAAACACTGTTGTTTTTCTAGGCAATAGTCCATATTTTTTTCTGTAGGATTTTTTTTTTTCACTCCAGAGTCTCTTTTTTCACTGCATGTCTGAAGGCTGAAGGCTGTTATTACGGAAGCAGCCTTTGATTTCTAGAGAAGTGCAGTGGAGACTTAGTCTTGGCTCAGGCCATTATACGTTTTACTGCTTTTGAAATTAAAAGGCCACATCCTTGCGTCTTTGCTACCTACTTCTGCAGAAATGCTGACTGGGTGAGGAAAATGCCCAAAGATTAAACACAAAATTTACTGGAAACCTCTTCCAGAAAGTCTCATCAAATGGCATTTTTTTATCAGTTTCAAAAATCACACTACACTGTTCATTTCCTTGTAAAGAGATGATAAAATGGTAGAGGACTGGTCCAGAAGCACTTAGAGATTCTCTGAGACATCAGGACAATGAAGACACATCTCTATTTTATCTTGCTGGCTACAAGTGTCTGTGCTGCTCCCCAGATGAGCAGTATAGCTGAATTACTGACGTTATTAGAACAAATTTATAGCTCAGTGGCAGAGGACACTCAGGTGAGTTCCACTTACACTCTTCTAGTCTGAAACCTGAGATATTTAATCTTGGTAATATTTAATCTTGCTCTCTGAATACTTTTATTAAAAGTTGAACAATCTATTAGTGTGACATCATATTTTTATTATATTTAATGCATGAAGAAGATATTTGAAAGTCTTAATACATTGTTTTTCAGAGTCTGAGGATTGAAACTCCACTTCATATAGACGTAAGTAAAACTTTTTTTAAATAAAGTTAACCTTTTCATAAATTTAGTCATCTGAAACGAAGAGAGAGTCTTAAACCTATTGTCTCCCCAAAGTACTCAATTTGTATTTAAGATAATAGTTTTGCACTTTAAATGTACTTTTTATGTAAATAATTATATTTTAAAGGAAGATATAATAATTACAAAGTTATTAAAAACATTCAAATATGAGTCAAAGATATGTTGTGACATAAAAACAGCCAAGGACAGTAGTAAATCTTGGCTTATGCTTTTATAAACCTTCTATGGACTAACATATCCACATCCACTAGTGATTTTGTGAATCATCCTTTTTAATGAAAGGCAGTTAAAAAGCAAAGAAGAAGCAGCTCATTGCCTGTTTTTGCTTGCCCATCTGCATCCTGCATGCACAAAGACTTTTTCTCACATCAGAATGTTTAGTCTACTTTTAGAAGTGGATTTTTATTTCATTAGCATTAGTAACAGGATGAAATAGTTGTATTACCACATTTTGCCTGAATGATGTTGTTTTAAAGTCTTCATGGCTTGAGCACAAGACACTAACTACTATGTATCTGTTTTATGGCACCTGTTTTAAAGGAGAGGTTGAATTCCTCTTTCTTCCTTTGCCACCCTCTTTTGCATCTCCAATAAATTTCTCATGTTCTCTGGTAGTTCAAAAGAGCCGTATTAACTCTCTGTGTAAAGGCTGTTTTATTTGCAAGTTGGCTTTTTAATAACCTCTTTCTCTCGATGTGGACACTGCTAGTAAGATCTTATTCTGCTGTGCCTCACCCGGCAATCTAGATTTACCGTGAGAACGCGTTCCAGCCCAGAGCTTAGGTGACATCACGGCCGGGTGCCTATCTGTGAGGATACGGTCCGAGGCGCTGAGGAGCAGAATAACTCACAGCTCCCACCTCAGCCAGGCAGGGCAGCTTCTGGTGGCAAACCCAGCCTGCTTCTTGCAAACCAGGTCTAAAGCCCTCAGCTTTGTCACTCCTCTCTGTGTCGCTGTGGGGAGTTTAACGGAGAACGCTCTCCTCCTCGGTGCAGGCTTTGGGGCTTTTTAGCCTCAGGGTTCTTAGGAATGGGAAAAAAAAGCAGGACGAGCTCGCTCGAGCTCTCCCCGGCACGTGCGGAGGAGTCCCCGCGCTCCTCCGCCGGCCAGGGCTGACCGTCACCAGCACACCGGCAGGAAAGCTGCTGCTCTCCAACCTGTGTTCGGGAGTAGAGAACACACCAAACCATGCGTTATTTCTGCATGTGTTGTTTCTAATTCATCCTTTGCAAAAGCATCCGGCTTCCCAAACAAGGCCTTGGGAGAAGCGATCTTTCTAGGCATGTTGTCCCACTGCCAGGAGGGGCTGACAGCCGGCCACATACTGGACAAGAGCATCATAGGAATGACGCTGGCCTTTAGCGGCTGTCTGCATTTCCTCTGACGTCCACTAATTAGCTTTTTTGCTTTATTTTCATCACCCTCTTCTCCCATTACACCTCTCTCCAGTCTGTTCTTGCCTCTGACGGTGGTTTCCTCATCCTCCTGTCCTTAGCTGAGCTCTTTTAAAACAGTCCCACATCAGCAAGTGCAACTGTCACCACTCAGCTCTGCTGCAGTCTTGTATCCTTTTTAACCATTCTTGTCTGGATTTGTGAGGTCTTGGAGACAAATACCAGCTACAGCTGCTGGGCTGGAACCGGCCAGCTCCAGCAGTCCCAGCTTCTAACGTAGGCAGCTTCCCGCATGCAAACTGAAGCCATAAACCCTAATTATCTGCCAACACAAGCAGTCAACATAATGAATCAAACTGGTCTTCAAATGGCCATAAAAGAGAGGACTAAATTTGTAGATCATTATAAGGCTCACCAGGACATTACAGAACATACTAGCGTCTACCAGATTTCCGTCTGCAGAGTAAGTAATCATGCACATACATAAATTAAGCACGTTTGCCTAAATCATTCGCAAATATGAGTCCAAAAGTCAGTAACACAATTTGTCACCCAGCTAGCTGAATATAAATCAAGATAATTTTTAATGAACTAGTTGTAGCTCACAGTTACAAATTCCTGTGTTTCAGTTTCGTTATTTCTTCCATCTTAGAATGCAAATTGTGTGAACAAAATCTTTGAAGGAACAGAACTGTTGAAAAACAAACTTGATATGAACAAATTCAGTGCTTTTTTCCAAAAATTTGAACGACTGAAGCAATCACTCACACCAAGCCTGGGAAAAGAGGTAGGAATTTATTTCTGTTATATCGTTTATCAGAGATCATGCAGCAGGGCAATCGGTTAAAAAGTGGTCCACAACTCACAGCTGCACCCTCATTGCTACCCAAAAGGGAATCAATTTTGCTTAGTAGGTGGAGGAAGAAACCCTAATATATGGAAGAAGAAACCCTAGCATTATTTCACATTTCTACCCTTTCCTTATTCTAGTCTTCAGTTTGACCCATCTCTAAAACAAGGATTCACATACATCATTGGCATATTTATAGTTTAAGGAAAATTTATAGGATGATTTCAAGATAAAAAAATTCTACATAATTGTTAAATATTAAACAATTTCATTGTCTTGATTATTTTTCAGGAGGAATGCCATACAGAAAGAAAGAACCCCAAAAGATTCATAGAAAAACTGACAACATTCATCAGAAAATCATCAAAAAAACCAAGAGCGTAAAGTTATTAATTTCTAGGATTGCCGTAGGATTTAAACAAGCAGTAAAATGTATATTTGTTTTAGAAGTCCTCTTTGTGTTAATATCGAGAGGGGCACACCTCCAGTTCCAGTGGTTCTGTATTTGGTCATGTTTGAAATGTAATCGCTGAAATTATCAATGGCAAAATGTCACTCGTATTTGCAGATGAAAATTTAGATGCTTGTTAAAGCAAAAAGTCCAGAGTCTTATGCAAGTACTTGACTACTCAGAAAACTTTTTAGTTTCATGTGGAAAGGTCAAGTTTAGATTTGCTATATTTAATTTCAAAACAGTTACAACAAGAATGAACATGCATGCATGTAAGCAAAAGCTACTGGTTCCTAATACCTACCTTATCTTAGCATATGGCACTGGGGGCTTCACAAACTGTGCCATAAATATTGCACGATATATGGAGATGTGATATGACTATATTTCCTTTGCTGTTTTTTTAAGATCGATTTTTGAGGAGGAACAGTTTCACGAGGGGACAGCGTGCATCCTAGCAACACATGTTGAGAATCCTTTCAGGTTTAAGGTCAAATCTTTGCTAGAAATTTTCGCTGATACTACACAGTCGCAGTAGAATGGGACCCACAAATGGGTATTACTCAATGATTTGTTTAGAAGAGCAAGAATCCTTGTATAGACCAGTAAACCAGTACGCAGCTGATGTTGCTAAAATAGTTAATTTTGCTCAGGGAACCGGTATTGGCTATACTAGTAAAATCTCACCATTATAACGTCTGTCTGTGATGGAAAGGACTAATCAGTACAATTATATTAGCAAAAATTTTCTAGTACAGAGTTGGCTTTGCCCCTATTCTGAAACCAGGATGACCAGCAAAGTCATGTTGACCTAATATTTCACCTACTATGTTTTGCATAAGCTTAACTACTTACACATCGCTTATCAGCAAGGAGTACAACAACATTGCACTCATGCCTACAGGATTGCCTTGATTTAGTATGCTTAGCACTCAGCCCCAAATTTTTCACAACCCCTGAGAAACACATCCTGAGATTTTTCTCTACCTGCAGCTTTATTAGGATCAATCTAAATTTGGTGACTACTAGTTGTAAGGATGGGGGCATGCACCACTTCGAGAATTAATATTCCTTCCTAAAAAATAATGGTCATGACAGAAGTGTTTAGATCAATCTGAATTTATTTTTATGTTGTCAATTAAATTATATTACTTCTACAGATATATGTATTTCAGAGAAAATATTTATTCTGTATTTTTACTGCTTTTAATAAGGTGAATAAATGTGCATCTCTGTGCTTTTTCCACAAATCTCCTCCAAGCTATTCCCATACTCGTGCAAACCTAGCCACCGCCAAATATCTGATCATCAGCAGAATTAGATCCCTGAGACGAATGAGCTAACATATTGCTAGGGCTATTTCTAATGGTGCACAAGTTAAAAAGCAGGGATGCAAGAAGATCCTTTAAGGTGCACACCTGAGTAATGGAGCTCAGCCAGCACCTCTGGCTTTGCTTTAACAGAGCTGTTTAGGAGACAGGATCACAGAATCACAGCACGGTTGAGGTTGGAAGGGACCTCTGGAGATCATCTAGTCCAACCTCCCTGCTCCAGCACGGTCGCCTAGGGCACGCTGCACAGGACTGTGGCCAGACAGCTTTGGAGTATCTCCAGGGAAGGAGGCTCCACAACCCCCCGGGCAACCTGCTCCAGGGCTCTGTCACCCTCACAGGAAAGGAGTTTTTCCTCACGTTCAGACGGAACTGCCTGTGGTTCACGTTGTGCCCGTTGCCTCTCGTCCTGTCACTGGGCACCACGGAGAAGAGTCTGGCCCCATCCTCTCGACACCCTCCCTTCAGAGACACATACACATTGATCAGATCCCCCCTGAGCCTTCTCTGCTCCGGGCTGAATAGTCCCAGCTCCCTCAGCCTTTCCTCATCTTAGGAGAGATGCTCCAGGCCCTTCATCATTTTAGTAGCCCTTCGCTGGACTCGCTCCACGACCTCCATGTCTCTCTTGTAGTGGGGAGCCCAGAATTGGACACAGTAGTCCAGGTGAGGCCCCACCAGGGCTGAGCAGAGGGGGACGATCACCTCCCTCCACCTGCTGGCAACACTCTGCCTCATGCACCCCAGGAGACCATTGGCCTTCCCGGCCACGAGGCCACATTGCACTCCCAGGGCCTTCTCGGCAGAGCTGCTTGCCAGCAGGTCAACCCCCAGCCTGTCCTGGTGCCTGGGGTTATTCCGCCCCCGGTGCGGGACCCTGCACTTGCCTTTGTGGAACTTCAGGAGGTTCCTCTCCGCCCGGCTCTCCAGCCTGTCCACGTCCCTCTGAATGGCACCACAGCCCTCTGGTGTGTCAGCCACTGCTCCTAGTTTTGCATGATCAGCAAACTTGCTGAGGAGGCACTGTGTCCCTTCGTCCAGGTCACTGATGAATGTGTTGAACAAGACTGGAGCCACTACTGACCCCTGGGGGACACCTCTAACTACAGGCTTCCAACTAGACTGCACCGCTGATCACGGCCCTCCGAGCTCTGTCACCCAGCCAGTTCTCAATCCATCTCACTGTCCACTTATCTAACCCACACTTCCTGAGCTTACCTAGGAGGATGTGGTGGGAGACCGTGTCTAAAGCCTTGCTGAAGCCAACGTAGACAACATCCACTGCTCTCCTCTCATCTGCGCAGCCAGTCGTCCCATCATAGAAGGCTACCAGGTTGGTCAAGCATCATTTCCCTTTGGTGAATCCGTGCTGACTACTGCTGATCACCTTCTTGTCCTTCACATGCTTAGAGATGGCCTCCAGGATGAGCTGTTCCATCACTTTTCCAGGGATGGAGGTGAGGCTGACAGGCCTGTAGTTTCCTCCTTCTTGCCCTCTTTGACTCCATTAGTGATCTACAGAGCACATAATGATGGCCCATGGAGACCAAAACAGTTGGTCATAGAAAAGCTTACTGGTTTCTTTGCCTCTTTTTTAACAATTAAAAGAGAAAGAGAAAGAATCCAAGCGACAGTCTTGGTTGTGCAGTCCAGCTGCACAACCGTGCTGTGGGGATGGCAGAGCTGGGAGCTAGGCAGCTCTTCTGTGCCCTCACATGCAGAGACCTGCCAGCGTCTGCACCAGCATCCCATCTACCGGCCACCCCTTCTCGCCTGCCTGGCTCCCGGCACGGGGGCGGAGGAAACGAGGAACTGATGACGTTACTCATGTATCTACATTTGAAATACTCATACAGACGTCTCCTCAGACCCACAACAGAAATTATAGTCTTTGCCATTCACAAATAAACCTTCATAAACAATGTGCCTTTAGTAGAAAATGTTGCTGCCCTCCTCCTGGATGCCATGCTGAGTTTCTTGATGCTCACCTAAGCTGGAGCTGGGTTGTGGGTGGGGGCAGAGGACTTGGGGGAAACTCAAGAAAGCCCCTCTGTGGAACGAGTGTTGTGGGTTTGATAAGAGGCGGTAGGAGGTTTTCTCCTCCAGAAGTAAGCCCAGAGAGAGCAGCTGAAGTCTGAGAGGCCAGGCCAGGCACTGAGCACCGCTACACAACTGCTCAGAGCCTCAGAGGAGGGAGGGAAAAGACCCCAGGGGAGGACATCCCACCCACTGGGTGGAATATGCTTCTGGCAAACACGCCGTTATTGAATTCTGAGAGAATAAACATTTGGATATAAGATGCCTGTCAGAGGGAGGACAAGAAATAAAGAATTTAATTAGAAAGGTGTTTCAGATTTTTTAGGATTGTTGCAAGGGTATTAGTGACTCAGGCTTCAATCCTGCTGTTATCCGCAACGGAAGAAATCTCCCATGCTAGGGATTCCCCGGTGGAGTGATTCGTGTATCCGTGAACCCCACACAAAGCAGCATGCTGCTTGAGATCAGCAGGATGGAGCTGACCTCTAATGCTCTAATTGCTCGAAAAAGAATTCCCTATTTGGATATCCTCCACATTACAGCTCTGTATTTCACAATTAGCATATCAAAAAACATTGGAAACAGGATGTCAGAATGAAGCACGTTTTGCTAATAAAGCAAGGGAATCGAAAGCTGGGTACTGGCGGCAGGTTCCTCCTACGTTAACTGCACATCACTCGGAATAAACACAGTTTTCCCTGGCCCTAACAGGACATTAGAGAGCCAACCACAATTATCACGATTTGCAAGTTGCAAACCAATAACACTCCAAGCAGGCAAGGAAAATTAATATAGATTAGAATTGACTGAAAAAAAAAATCCAACATTTTGGTCTGATTTGGAATAAGACAAAATCTCTGAACTCTTTATATGAAGAAACACTAACGGAAGATCTGACTCCGACGTGTCAGGACGCTCCGTTTCAGGTTGACCCCAGCTCTTACTCCCTGCAGAGCGCCGCTGCGCCTCGGCTCCCTCTGCGTTTCTCCACGCTCCCAGCCTCCCTGGCAGATCCTGGTCTCCCTCCTGACCAGCCCATCCGCCACCAGCCGCTGCCGTCACTGTGCGGTGGCTGGTGGAGGAGCTGCTCCCACTGAACGTCAAGCCTGTGCAGGAAGGCAGGACCCTGATGACCTGGGAACTACAACTCCCATGAGACACCAGAGGTCTCTACCTTAGCATTTTAATCAACCTCCGAGCTCTATTTTTCTCCTTTACGCATCAGATTAGGCATCAGAATCAGGGACAGCTTTGGCCGAGAGGGACATTGGGTTGGCCGTGGCACAGCTGCGACGGTCTCACACCGCCCTCCAGTGCAGCATGGCTGATGCCTGCGGCGCACGGATCTGCTCGGGTTCGGTTCTTCCACCTTCCGCTGGGTCTGGCCCAAGGCAAAGGCCCCGTTGCGGGGGTCTCTCTGCGCTGCGGGGTGGTGCAGCCACACGGGACCCCCTAATGCAGAGCTCCCACCGCTTTGTTTTCCCATGCGCATGACAAACTCAGTGCATCAAGTTCAAGGACATGGCAGAAGGGGCAACGCGCCAATCGGATAAGAGAAACAATAAAAGAGCCTCCATAATTCAACAATCTGATTGAAAAAAAAATGGCCGAGGGAAATCTTGAAGGGGAGGATTTCACTGGAAAAGGAATACTTGTTATCTTCTTTTATGTTCTGTTTTACCTCTGCAAACTGTCTGGAAGCTCCTTGTTCTGGAAGGGGTTAAGAAATAGTTTATCCTTAACTTTTTACCCCTTTTTTGCAAATTATTCCTTAGACTCTTTTAGCCTGCACAACAGTGATTCTGCTTTTAATCTGCCAGATTGGATTTGGACACCATTTGGACATGTGAGCTACTGAGAAAGGGATTCGTAGCCGGAGAATTTCCAACTATTTGATTTAATTGTGCTGAATTTCCTGGGTCTGACACCTCTCAACACCACGTGCCGCTGCCCAACTCCTTTTTCCTACACATCACCAGAGATCTCTGCTGAAGCACGGGCGAGAATATATGTGATATCAGAAAAAACATGCAGTAGTAAAGCATGCCTTTGTCGCATTGATACTTTTCTTTCCCCCTCTGTGTTTTCAACAGTTATCAGCCAGCTTTCACGACCAGCCAACTCTCACCCAGCTTTCACAACATAGCTTCATCAGATGGCGTGAGCGAGCGCGGCTGCTGGCAAAACAAGGATTGATGGGCAAAATGATTATTTATACGTTACTTGGGCAGGAAAGGCCTCGACCTACCACACTTGTCACTCTGTTCCTGTAACCCAGCTTCCAAAAGGCAGCCGGGCAGACGACGAGGGAGCGCCGCCCGCCTCGCCCGCAAAGCC